GACCCGTTCCACACACTAGTAACAATTCAGAAAGAAAAACACAGCCAGAACGTCTGTATTTGATATCACATCAAGTATTTAAAGGGAAAAGCCTCCCTTTTTTCCTCTCTGAAGTTTTACAAAATAGCCTCCATTATAAGTAACTGATATTTTTGTACTAATCAGTAGATTAGTTGGCACACCACATTACTCAGGCAACCTTTCATAAATTAGGTAGCAGTTCAAAGGTAAAATTCTCCCTGGATTGTCTGTGTTGCTTATCAGTTACTTTGATGGTAGGAATGTTTGGGGTTTTTAAAGGTGAGGTGCTGTGTTAGCACATTAAAGGAAAGGGAGAGTCCCCAGATCAACTGCAGGAACACAAGAAAGTTTACTTGAATATAAATCTATGTGATTCCAGGCTACAGTTTAAGACTTTATTAATAAACTTCAGTTTGCATAGGTATAAACTTTATGATGGCACACAAGTTAGAGAACAATTCATTATCAGTGTGCCAGCAGTATTACTATAAGAATTCCTCAATCTCTGTTAAAGTGAATGGATTCATTCCATACATACTGTTCCTGTAGTGATCTGGCACTTCAGGTGCCACTCCCACAACTTTGTCATCTTGAGCAACCTGTAAAAATATTTTTTATAAAGATAGTGGGGAAGAACATGAGGATTTTGCTGGAAAGGATGAACTCATATTTCAACTTTCTTACTTGCTTCTGCTTCCACCCCATCTTCCCAGGTTCTGTATTCCAGTTTGGAAGTAATACTGCTAATTTCAGCTTTCCAAATAGCCCAGGAGTATTCACTTTTAGTGCAAATCCTTCTGCACCAGCAGCTCCTGCACAGCCTTCTGGCACTTCAGGATTTTCGTTCAACCAGCCTGCATTTACATTGGGGTAAGAGACCGTATCAGAATTTCACTTGAGCTTCGGGTAATATCAGTGGACAGTGTTCAGCCTCTACTGCTGTTAAATCTTGAGGTGTTCAGATGAACCTTGGAGTTTGAAACTAAATTTGGCACCCTTCCTTGTATTAGCCTGACTGGCTAACTAAGCAACGGTATCTTTAAAGGAGCCTAGCTGTCAGGAATATCACACATCAACACATGTGAGATTGTCTTGTTCTTGAAAGGTAAAATCCGTATCCAGCCATTATGCTGCTGCTTACCTTCTGAATAAGAGAGATTTAATTGGTTTTGGTTTCTGGAACTTTCTTCCTCCTGTTCATCATTTGCCGTTTGTTGCCAGCTGGTAACTAGTGAGACAAGACTATGAAACAGTTGTTCTGGAATATCTTCTCAGTGCTGCTACTGAATTTTCAGCTACACTGTCCTAAATTCTGAACTACTAATTTCTTTTGATAGGACTAATGGGAAAAATGTTTTCTCTGCCTCTGGACCTTCAGTTCCTGGTCGGAAGATAAAGCATGCAGTTAGACGTAGAAAGTAAACGCCTGATTGGTAAAACATCAAAAACATTGGAAGCAGCTACTACTCTGAATTGTTCAGCTTCTACCCTGACTGAATTGTTCAGCTGCTACCCTGAATTGTTCAGCTGCTATCCTGAATTGTTCAGTTATTGGGATTGTACCTCATGCTGGCTTATCGGAAGTCAGATCTGCCTAAAGGAATATAAAACCTAGCTTTCCTGTCCTTCCCTTCCCTCTCCCTGTTACGTTTTTCGGTAGCAAGTAAAGTTGGCAACAAGGCTGTTCTCAAGCAAAAGTCTCAAGTTACTTCTTTCACTGACTTGGCATGGTCTGGCTGTAGCCCTGAGTAGAGCCTGCACAGTGAATGGCTTGTACAATACCTCTTCATCCGCACCACTACGTGCGCTCATTCGCGTTTACTGACGCCTCGAAATTGTAATTATATCAGCGAGGGATGCTGTATAGAGTAGAGAATGTTGATAACGAATGATTTCTATGCTGAGTTTGTGCTGGTGTATGTGTGAAGTGAGTGAGTTTGGGTGTATCGTGCACTAAAATTTTCTGATAGAGGAAGACTGATTTAAGGATGATCCATGCTAAGGACTTGTTAGATCTGTAGTTCTTCATTTAATAATTATATGCTATTTCTATATTTTCATTCTTACAGCCCTTTATCACCTGTCTCGCCTTGTTATTTTATTATGAAACATGTGTAAATACAATTTCGTTTCTCTATGTACTTTTTTGGCATAACAAATCTGTGAAATTGAAATTTTAATTTTGTGTGTTACGGCCATTTTTGTTTAGTATTGTCTCAGATTTTATGTAAATCTCATTATTCAAAGTTGCCTAAATCCATTTAGAAAATCTTTAAAATTGGGAATTCTTAAAGTAAGTTTATTGGCTTTTCTGATCCATTTTTGTTTGGACCAAAAACCAGTATTGTACAAAGTATTAAGTATATATTTTTATATTTACTGAAATGGACTGTGGTGACTTTGGATAATAAGGAAAAGTTTAATATTAAAGCCATGTTTATTACAGTATAATTAACATGTTAAACCATGGGATAAATGCCATCAATAAAAACTGCGAAATATGATCTGGCAATTTTAACTCTCCATAAAGGCATCTGGAGCTGTAACTGTATGAGATGGTTACGTCAACCTGAGCAATGTAACATGCTTTCTTCAACCTCTGCTTTTTCACAGTGTCACTGATTTTAGAGGAACTTAAATAAGTTAAAGGTCTCCTGTTACAAAGGAGAGTTTTATTGTAGACTGAAGCTTAGAGCAGCTTATCAGTGTGTCAGCTGACTGCAGTTCATTTTTTTATAATGCTATTAAAAAAAAAAGTTAATGTTACATTCACCACTGTTCTAACTGAACAGGAAAAGGTACCCCTAATTTATAAATGAGTAATTAGGGGTCTCCACTTCTGTAGCAGTTAAAGGAACTTCTTGGAGAACAAACATTATTCTAGTAAAATCAAAGGAAATGCTTGTTCATCTGGGGACCCACAGCTGAACTTTGTACCGAGTCACAGCATTCAGTGTATGACTGAGATACAGTTTCTTCCTTCAGCTAGAACAGAAGAGATCTGCATAACTGTGCTGTAAATGTCTTCAGAGGCAGGGCTGAGGCCTTTGCTGGCACTGCTGCCCTTCACCAGAACACGGCTCACCCCTTGTACGGCTGCAGGTGCCGAGGGTACAAAGTGAGATGAGTTTCTAAGCACGAGCTGGACTTGACAGCAGGACAAAGGCCAACTGCCCTTTTCATGTGTAAAGCTCCAGTCACTGTTTCTAGAAACAGAAGATACTCAGCAACTAAACTTCAAAACCACACACAAACACTGCTATTCAGAGAGTCATATTGTGCCACTGGAGCTGTGAAAGGATTATATGCAGTTACATATTTCCAGTTGTCTAAACCTGAAAATGTCACAGATTTCACTTTTCCCCCTTAGCAATGAATCACTGGCCCAGCATTCATCCTACAAACAGAAAAAGGTGGCATCTTCACTCCAGCTTGCATAAGAGACAAACTAAAAGCATTTCCAACAGCATAATATACATATTTCCATGGACAGGCTCTGTCTTCTTGCATTAATTGTTTTCTGTACCTGCTGTGGAAGGGGTGGTATTTTTCTGCAGGGCAAGATAAACCTTCCATTATATCTGAGTTGGTAGCAATGAAGTTAGCCAATGGTATTGCTTTTCCCTTCCTTCCCCCCACATCTTGAATCCTAGTTTCTAGGTCACTGCTACAATAAATAGAACAAAAAACTTCTTTTTGTGAATAGGTAAAATTCACCCTAGAAGGGACTTTGGTTATTTCTGACAGCTTTAGTTTTCATCAGGCTGGTTGCCATGCCTGACATCAGTGCTTAAGTCAACATTTTTTGAAAGAATGGAGCACAGGTCCTGTGAGGGGCAGCTGAGGAAGCTGGGGTGTTTAGCCGTGGTGACCTTATTGCTCTCTATAACTACCTGAAAGGAGGGTGTAGCTTGATGGGGGTCTGTCTCTTTTCCCAGAAGTGACTGGACAAGAGGAAACAGCCTCAGGTTGGCCCCAGAAGGTTTAGACAGGACATTAGGAAAAATGTTTTAATGGAAAGGGTTGACAAGCATTGAAACAGACTGCGCATGGAGGTGGTGGAGTCACCATCCCTGGCAGCGCTCAAAAAACATGTGAATGCCACTCGAGTACATGGTTTAATGGTGAACATGGTGGTGGTGCTGCATTGACAGTTGGACTTGATGATCTGAGAGGTCTTTTCCACCCTTAACGATTTTATGATTCTAGGAATAGTTAAGTGGTATCTCTGAAATTCTGTTTCAGCTCAACATGTTCAAGTGGTCTAGCAACAAGGGGGTGCTTTCCTGAGGCCTGCTTATTGCCATTTAGTACTTAAGACATTTTTGTTTCAGTGATGGATGTCATGATCCTTAATGCTAATGGTACACTTAAGATGCCAAAGTTTTTTTGGTAATAAATCATTAGTGTAAAACAGTAGTAACCCTCAAAAGTATGAGGTATTTTGATACTGATACCCTGTCTGATTGAGTAAGGATACAAAACTTTTCTAGCCAAGACAACTTTTTTTTCACTTCAAAAATAAATATTTAAAAGTAGTTATCTAAATAGTTAGCAGCTTCATTTTGGAGAGGTGAAAGCTTCATTCTCCCACTATTCAGCACTGGATCCAGTCCTGATTCATCATTCCAAATGAAAACTGAAATGCATACACAGTACATTCATACACAGAACAACATGACTTGTCAAACAAAAGTATTGCAGAATATGAACACATTTTTAAGTTATTTCACCTGAAGACAAGAGAGAACCAAGCTCTCAAACATGTCTGTTGTTAATGAAACCATTGTCCAAAACTGAAGGCAGGGCAAGAACTTCAGCCACTGAGTGGCAAGTTAGGCCTATGGGAGGAACACACAAAAACTGGCATCTAGGATTCCAAACACTTGCTCAAATGTTACTAAAACATCAACATTGCTGGTAATACTCATTTCCCAAGATACTAATAAGATGAGAACAAACCAACTATCCAAGCTATGTAGTCATGCAAAATATTAGGCTTCTTTATTCAGTATTTAAGTTATTCTGAATATACAAACAATTAGCCAGAATGATAAAGTGAGAATAACCAGTATTTGTACTTCTGCAGATTTACACCCATAACACATTTCAGTTAATGTTTTCTGCATGCTTCTGGAACACATTCAGTTGTTTTGCTCTGCATTATATGCAAGAAATAGACAAGTGCTTTCACTCCAAACAGAAGCAAAAATGTTACCTTTCATTAGCATGATCTGTACTGTTCATGGCTGCAAAATTATTTACACACACCGGTTCACTAACACTGCAGTGTAACATACCCTTCCCGGAGGAAAAAAGTAGCTATTGGTTCACCTCTTCCTTTGCGTGGACAACTGAAGTAAGTGACAATGCTTGAGACAGTCATGCAAAAAACTTTTCACATTAACATTGTGATAAAATACTTAAAAGGTGAGGAAATATGATCTGTGAAGCAATTATAAAAGACATGATAACCACTGCTGATCTCTCTTTCTGCACACGTGGCAATTTAATTAACATGATTTGCCTTGCTGTCTAATACTGCAGTTCTCTTCCTCCTTTATCCTTTGACAGGCAATGGCCTGGAAAACAACTTGATTTTCTAGTTACCTGCCAACATCCAAAACTGTAGGAGCAACATTTCTTTTAAGGTGGAATATTTCTAGGTATCGGCTTTCCACAGACTGATGAACAGAACAGCTCCTTTCTGCAGTTAAAGCAGCCACTTTCTGTCTCATCAATCAGAAGTTAATACTCCCAGATTTAATACATATTGTCTCTCCCAAACTTCTTTGGCATCTATGAAAACTCCAATATTTTGAAGGTAGCTGCTGGCATCATACAGGAGCCATACATTTTCTTTAGCTTCTGAATCAATTCCCATTTAATTGGGGCAAAAGATTCCAATAGACACCTCAATTGCAGTTCTGGGGTAGGTCTTTATTCTCTGGGGGTGGGAGGGGATCTTCAGAACCAGTCTGGAAATCTCATCTTTTGGTATCATCTGACTCCATTTCTTCTGACCACAATAGTTCCTGCTACAATATCATAGGCTGTTCTGTTGTGCTGGAAAAACAGCAGTGTAATAAATGCAGGAAAAAATGATGCAATAGAAAAATTCTTGATCAAAGCTCGTACTGTGGACCTGAAATGAGAATAAAACATTCAGTGCCTTATTTTCACTTTTCTGCTTATGTTAGTAATTAACTTCCAAGTTTAGTGCCTCAGTTTTACATGGTACAAAGATCAATCTCTAGAGGAGATTGTACCACCTAAACTGAAAAACATTCAATGCGACTGAATAATTACCATTTTATTCTTAGATCCCATAATGTGACAATAGCTCTTGCAATCTAATTATTGCAAAGGTCAACAATAAAGCAATGGTGTATTTCCTCCCAAATCACATGCTTTCAACACTATTAGTCTGAGTGCAACGTGACTGAGCCAAGAGCACTTACGTTGTCATACTGACATTAGAGGATGGAATGACTAACACTCGGCTGGGCGCAATAAGTACAGATGTGTCACATGTCACAACTCGCAGTCCAAGCAAGAATTTCCCTGGGGTTGCTCCACCTGCTCCCCAAATACAGATTATCTGTAAAAGAAAGGTTATTTCAATTCCACACACCAGCGTGTGGTTGATAGGTCTAGCAAACTTGGTTATCCTCAAAACTACGTGGATGTCATAAGCTTCAACATAATCCAAAATACTGTAAAGAGGATTTACTTTATAGGTCTATGGTGACAGAATTTTTTAAACCATTTCTTCAACAACTGACAACTATTAATTATAAGAGTTAGTGTTTATGAGTACTTACCTCATAGAAGCAGACTAATAACCTGTAGATGAGAGCTACTATCATCATTTTCTGCAAATCTTCCATGGATGTATCTTCATCTATTTCCTCTATGATGTAATGCATGGCAAATTTAGAGATGTCCCTGTGCAAAATAAAACTGAACTTCAAAACCGTCCTCTCAATACCACTGTTACCCCTTTAATACTACAATTCACTCCTTCAGTTCTGGTATCAGTAGAAGAAAAAAATCTCCTTGGCTCTCTGATACTAAACAAGCCATTAAAATTCAGAACACTATGTTTCCTTCCAAGTTGCTGCCCAGATTGTTTTGTCTTTTTCATTATGAAAAGATCATTCTTTATTACCACTTTTGCACAATGGTATCCCTGGGTAGTGAGCTGCAGAATTGTTCTGAAAATTCTCACACTTCTTGGGAGATAAACAGATTCTGCAGGTGATCATCTAACTTTGTATAAATAGAAGGTATCCAAGTCTCCAAGTCTCTTCCTTACAGAAACTCTCACAAAAAAGAACACCTCTACAAACACAAGGAGAAGTTACAAGTCTCCCTAAGCAAGCAAGGAAGCCCTATATCATCCTTTGCATGATCTGTGTTCCTCATTCTCAGCAGTCTTTACTGCTTACCATACTCTACTGGAGGAAGGCACCTTGGTATGCAACAGGAAGATTTTACCTTAAAGCAATCAAAACCTTCTGGTTTTCATCCTAACAGAGCTATGTGAAGCATCCATTTTGAGTTAATAGCATATTTTCGCAAGATAAACTCCACATATTTAACCTTCTTATCTGACACCTGGAATGTATATACTTGCAACATGTATTTAGGCAAGAGCTTTCCACTCATGCATCTGAGACTCACATAAAAACGTGTAGTCCCACTTCCAAACAGTCCATCTTATATTTGTACCACTTACCCTCCTCTTTATTCAGACTTAAGGATTGAAAAGCAATTAAGAAAACAGTGAAGCACAACCTGCATTTCCCTTCAATACAGCCTTGACCTGAAGTGTCTTTCTTGAGCCTGAGAGGAGGTTTTTTTTTCATGACAACTCAGCCTAAGCTCAACCTCACATCTCATAAGCAGAACCATCCCCCCCGCCAATGTTTCTCTGATGTTCCTTGTAAGCAACTTCCTGGCTCTCACAAAACCAGTAATATTGAATGTGCTGTAAATTACACCTTCACCACTTTACAGAAGCAATTACACATAGTTGTTCCCCATCTTTCCAGTACTTCAGCCTACTAAAACCAAAATGGAAACACAAGCTGTCAGCTTACAGTTGGAGGTTTTGGCAACTAAAGAGAACTGAGATTCTGGCATTTTAATTACTGCTTATCTGAACAAAAACCACTAATAGTTTACACTGACGTATTTATTGGTTTGGATTTGACTCTCTTTCACACACCTTTCAAGCTGCAATTAAAGGTGCCTGGAAAATGTTACCTGTATAGTATCACTTTATGGTCAATCAATGTTTGGATGGCTCTTGAGCAGAAAGCTTGGGTTCTGAAATGTGTGTTTGCACAGGAATGCAATTACTGACTACACCAACTATTGACTACTCATCTCTTAATCAGACCAAAATATTTGATTACCCCAACCCAAACCAGAATAACCGAGTTGAGGAATAAGACAGCTACAGTTAAAGAAGCAGATAAAAAAAAAAAGGTTTTGAGGAAAAGTATTATATCTGTGTACGAAAATGTAAAATGAAGAATCTTTCAGTCTAGTGCACACACAGTGTTTAATTGTACTTTTTAAGAACCCAAATTTACACCCAGTAAAGCCTGCAGTGCAGTAGCATTCCTAGCAATGAGGTTGCATTTTCAAAGTACATACATATCTGATGCATGATCAGATTTTTTTTTGTGTGTGGGTTAGCATTGTTTAGCTCAGAAATCTAAAAACACAGCACCTTAGAAGATGCTGTGAAGGAAATTACCTCCATCGCAGCTAGATCCAGTACATTTTTTAAAAGCTGTTTAAAAAGACAAGTTTGTCAATGTTTTTTCTTTGAGAAATATAAAGGACTTTTTAACAATCTTGCTATTGCCCACCCCTAAATAAGTATGCAAGTCTACTCTGTCCTTAGTAAGGAGTTTGTGAGCCTATACACCTGTACAAGTTTTTTGTTTCCATCAGCTGACCCAAAAATCGGGATGTATTTAAAAGGAGGTTAACCCAGTGGTGCTTTTTCCTCAACTTCTGTCAGTTATTCAATGCCATCATATGCCCAAGCGTACCATAAATACAACCTGACACCTCAAAGAGCATGAAAAGCTTAAAGCTGTATACAACAAAGCTTTAAACTGTTAAACTTACTTTATTCCACTGAGGTGCATAATACTTAAAATGATGGTTGCCTTTATAAAGAACAGAATAAAAAAATCCACCATCTCTGCTATGAACCTGTGCGCCAACGAAGGGATAAGGAACTCCCGACCTGTAACAGAAATAGTTAATATTACCCAGATTTTACTGTACTAACACAGTTAACACTATCAGCCAAAGAACACTCCACATTAACCTTTCTGCAAGTACATAATCAAGATCTTGATCTTAGCTCACATCTTCTTCAAGAAAATTTTTTTAAACATACATTTTTAGAAGTTATCTGAATTGTTTAAACTGAGTTAAAAGAGCCTTCTTAAATTAAATTCTTTCAACCTCTGAGTCCCCTCATGATAAGGATTACAGGCAAAATCATACTCTGCTAAAGAACTGAAGTACATTGAAGAAGCATCAATGTTTGTGTTCTTTTGTTTAGAACAGCCTCGTTGAGAAGAAAGTCTGAGAAGTCAGATAAAAGAAAAATTACATCTTAGATCTACCACAATTTTTCTATTGCTCAACAGCAAGGCTTCCATGTGCACCAAGTACCAGCTCTAAGAGTAAACCACAGCATATTGTCCCCACTCAGACACAAACAAGAGTGGATGAAAATATTAGTCATACTTGACATAAACATTCCTATAGACTACTTATGAAAAAGCACAGCGTGCTGCTCTACACCCAGTCAGAAAATGTAACACGTTTCTCCTGTGTTAATTGGTAGAGTGCAAATGGGCACAAAGTAAGTAGCAGCAGTTACAAGCTCTTGTTGCTAATGCTACCTCAGGTGATTAAAGCAGAGAAAACATTAAAGAGCATCTTAGACAGTTTCCAAGGAATTCTATTGCAAAACAATTTCATCTGGACCCAGCTACCACCCCTCTATTTCCCAAAGGACAAACACGACTCTCACATGGAATCTGCAAGGACTCACATCAAACTTTACTTAGAAATACCCAAGTACTACTAGACTTAACCTACAGGAAACAGTGACTGGGTTTGGTACTGTTTCTGAGAACACCTACTCCCACACGCACGGAAACAAGAAAAGAGGAAAGAAAATCATTCCAATTTCAAAAAACATCATCAAATTTCACTTGGAATAAGCCTCCACAGTCCAGCTGCTAAGACTGATCCTGCCAATCGTGGCCCTGTGAGCTATTAGAGCCAAGCCAAAAGCCCACAGAGCTCAGGCGCTGAGTGGGGTAAGTAGAATCAAGCAGAGATTAGGTAAGAGCCAGCTCTTATTTAACATACCTTGGTTTATATATCTTCGTTTCATATCTGCTGCACCAATAATACCTCTGCATCTATAGTATCAAGTAGCATGACTCATATATAATACTAAAATTCCATTCTCATTGTCAAAGCCTGCCCAAGTTGTCCATTAAATTCTAAGATTCTTCAACTAAGGCAAGTGTGGGAGCATAGCCAGTCTCCCAGTTCTGGCCTGAGCACAAAGCAACAGGCAAAAGTCTTCATTTGCTCTGTTAAAAGCAGCACCTTTGTTGAAGTTAGTGGCAGAGACTCACTTGAATAAATTAAATTAAATGACTGCATAAGGAAGAAGCTACGTGGGGCTAAGAAGATAAATATTCAAATTTTGTTAAACTGCATTACATTAAGAAACCTTGGCAACCCTTAGGACTCTGGTAGATCTATACTGCAGTGCTTCAAGATGTTCCTCGTATTAGAAATCCACTATTTTGCCAAGAGTTGCTGTTTGCGCGGCAAGGACAGCCAAATGCAACATCCATCCAGCTCAAATATAGGAATTTACATCAAGATTAGTACTAAAGATGTGTTTGTGCCAGTCAGCCACAGGGCAGCTGGGGCTTGGATGCACTTTTTGCCCTACTGTTCCCAGCAGATGAGCAGTAATCTCCTGCAGTAAGGCAGGGAGGGGCAAGGCGAGGATGTGTCTGAAATCCTGACGACCGTGCTGTTAATACTGGTGCTCTGACACACACCTGCAGGCAGACCGAAGTGGAAGAGGCAGTTAACAATCCCACTTTTTGACATCCCAGTTTAAAATCTGCAACATTAACATAAGCTGTCACTTGTTTCAGCTTATGTAAGCACATTGGGCTGTAAACTGCAGTGGCACAGGGATGGATACGCGGCCTGCCCTGCTGAGCCTGCTGTGTGGGCAATAATCTACAGCAGGAAAGAAGGAGCGGTAATCACTTTAGCTGTTCTAGATATATCCAGCTGCAATCTGAAGCCAAAGCACGGGCACAACAGTCGTTGTTTATAATTGCATTGTACCACTATATCCCACACACAGTTCCCTTAAGAAGGCCAGGTGTTGCAACAGTATGTAGTATTCCAAATAACCATGTTCAGCAGCATGAAATGCTACTGAAGCCCTAAATTACCTTTAACACATGGAATTAGCCCCTGAAAAACTAGGTAAAAATCCAAGAATAATCAGTCTAGCCTTTGTCTATCTCCTCTTTTCTAAGGACTGGCAATATGTGTTTATAAGCAATCTGTAACTCAGAATCAGAGCACAATTACAGAAAATACTACTTTGTGCTATAACTGTGTTTAAGCAACATCTGCTCAAAAACACAGGAAAGAAGCCAGTTCAGAAGCTAGATCCCCTTCCCCTCAAAACAAGGGAAAAGGAACTAAAAACATTTTTCAAACACACACAGCCACTGAGCTTATAAATAATTTTACAGATCAGTAATGTCGTACTTTGCCCTGCAGAGAGAAAGGAGATCCGGCTTTTCTCCAAAGTCCTTCAGCAGTGCTCTGTTCCACAGTCTCCTACCATTACTTGAGGTGTTATGGAACATTCAGGGAATGTCACTTATATGTTCCTTGACTTGTGAGAAAATGTTGGGGCTCCAGGTTTTACCTCTGACGTAATCAGAGCAAGTTTGCCTTACTCTTGAACAAATATAAACAGAAGGCCTGCTGTGCACTGCCTTCAATATTTACAGCTGTAACAGACTTCTGTTTATCTCCTGCTGCCAGCTTGTTCACTGCAGCCGTGTTTTCACATCTCTGCTTCGATTTCATTAAATGATTTTATTTGGGCCCCGAGAGCCTGCTAAAACCGGTAAAGTTAGTTTAGATTTCATCATCTAAACAGGCTGCTTATAAATCTTAGATGCATTACAAGCCCGTGACAGCAAGTTTCACTAGAAATTAAAAAAAAACTCCTTCGTATCCACACAAACATCTTACAATCATTGAAGTTGTACACGCAAGTCAACTCTCCCAAACTCGGTTCAAGTTACGGATCAAGTTCTGGATGTACCACCTCGGTATTAGGGCTGTCACCCTGGGTCCCAAACCCGCTCACGGGCCAAGTTCTGGCTCCACCACCTCGGCTTCAGGGCTGTCACCCCGTGCCACAGGCACACGCCCGGGCCCGCCGCACACGGCGGCGCAGCGACCCCCAACGTCGCACACCCCCGGCTCCCCTCTCCAGACCCTGATTCCTGGAGCTGCTCGCCCTTTCTCCCTAGCCCCTGCCCTTTACTCAACCTGCCGGCCGCCCCGGTCCCTGGGGCAGCGCTCCGCTGTGCCGGCGCGCGCTACCGGAGCCCGCCCTGGGCACGGGGACACCGCGCCCGCCGCCCCCGCCAGGCTGGGGCGGCCGCACCGGGGCGCGGGGCCCCGTCCGGCGGGGGCCGCGTGTGCGGGCGGCGGAGCGAAGAGGTAGAAGGGGCTGTAGTAGTAGGCGGCGGCGCTGGCGTTGGGTGGGGGCGGCTGCGCGGCGGCGGCGGCGGCAATCAGGGCGGAGGCGGGCCCTGCCAGCCCAGGTACCCGCAGTACGAGTCCCACAGCCACTGTGACGCGTCGCGCGTACTCCGCCGCGGCTCAGCGGCTTGGCCCCGCCGCCCTCCGGAGGGGAAACGCGGCGGCGCTGAGGACGCGCGCGGCAGTGGGCGCTGGCGTTGTCGTTGTCGCTGGCGTTGTCCTCCCCCCCGGCGGTGCTGCCGCCCTCCGCCATCGCCGCCGCCCCAGCGCCGGCCCGGCCGCGCTCCGCCGCCGCCTCCTCCATTCGCGGCGGGCGCCGAGCGCTCACCGCGCATGCGCGGGGGAGTGCGGCGCCTCTCCCACTTGGAGGGGCGGAGGGGGGGGAGCAGCACACAGCCTGGCGTGGAGCCCGCCACGCCCGGAAAGAAACAGCCTTTCCTCCCCTCCTCCCCCCGACCTGCATGTGAAATGGTATCGCCGGGCGCTGTGGCGGACGCGGCTGCCCGGGGTCAGGCGCCCCTGAGGCGGCAGCGATGCGGCGTCGCTCTGGCCCGCCCCGCAAGGGGACTGCGCAGTCGAGAGATTCTTATACATTTTTATTTTCCTGTCTAAATGTTGCTTATTTTTATTTTCTTTTTTTCCCCCACTTTCTTCTCCCTTTTTTCATCGTTCTCCTTATCACATAATCATATTCTTTCTCTGCAAAAAAAAAAAAAAAAAAATAAAATAAAATCACAGAATCAGTTTAGGTTGGAAAAAACCTCTGAGGTCATCGAGTCCAACCTATGATGAAAAACATCGCCGTGTCAGCTAGACCATGGCACTGAGTGCCACGTCCAGTCTTTCCTTAAGAACCTTCACCTCCCTGGGCAGCCCATTCCAATGTCTAATCATCCTTTCCGTAAAGAAATACCTTCTAATGTCCCACCTAAACCTCCCCTGGTGCAGCTGAAGACTCTGTCCTTGTTATTTGGAAGAATAGACCGACACCCATCTAGCTACACCCTCCTTTCAGGTAGTTGTAGAGAGCAATAAGGTCATCACTGAGCTTCCTTTTCTCCAGGCTAAACAACCCCAGCTCCCTCAGCCGCTCCTCATAGGACATACGCTCATCAAATGCTGGACAAAGAACCAGCTGCAAGTTTAAACACAGTTCTTCAAACTAATTTGTAATCTTTAAGGTTTCTGTGTATTATTAAGCATCTCAACCAGACCCCAGGTGCCGTAGAACACTGATGTGAACACAGCTCCATAGTGAAGAAACGAGTAATGTATGCTGCGAATACAGAGTGTTTCCCATGTTGAACACAGCAAATATCACAGCTGAACAAAACCAGAAGTTTCTCCCTCTCCCTGTTAAACTACTTTCCTGTGTAACCTTAATTCATTCTAAAAAAATGGAGTAATTTCTTAGAATCAAATAATGGCCTGGTTTGGAGGGGACCTTAAAGAACATCTAATTCCAACCTCCCTGCCATGGGCATGGATGCCTTCCACTAGACCAGGTGGCTCCAAAGCCCATCCAACATGACCTTGAACAATTCCAGGGATAGGACATCCACAACTACTCTGGGCAACCTGTTCCAGTGCCTCACCACTCTCACAGTAAAGACTTTCCTCTCTATATCTAACCTAAATTTCACCTCTTTCAGTTTGAATCCAGAAGTTCCTGTGGAGTGAGTCTCTTCATACAAGCAAGCTGAGAAGAATTGCCAAAGTTCTTAGCAAATGACCCATACCACCTTGATTAAATGCAGTAACATAAGATACTGGCACTCATTATGTGGCTATGGTTCTAATTACACTTGCATATGTTTTTTGTAACATAGACCTTGGTGAAATCAATATGGATAAATGATTTGGGAAATATAGCAAGTTTTAGCATGATTATGATGAAAGAAAGGAGGGAAGATAGACAAGTGTATAGAAGAAAACATGGCTTTAAACCATCTATTAATCTAATAGAAAAACTATTGCAGAAAACTGACAGTAAATGTAGTGTAACAGGGCTTCTTTCTTTATAACATTTCATTTCTTCCTTTGTCAGTTACAGTCTATTTAATTTTTCTAAATTTTCTTTTTACCACAGACCCATCAGGATCAAAGAGCGTCAGGCCCTTTTTCTAAATTTTGTGCGTGTGTGTGCGCTACAGGTTTTGAAAGCCAGATCAGATCTCACAGACTTCATATAATGCTACCGGTCACATGTAAATTTTAATCTCACCAGCAGCAGCATTACACAGGCATAACCAGTTAGAACTCACCATGTGATTATGCTGGATACTCAAGGTGAAACTGAATCACTGACAGCAGAGATCAGGGGACTAACAGGTAACAATGCAGTATTTCCTCAGACCTAAATTTTTCATTTATCAGTTTTTCATTCTTCTGCCTTAAAAAACCCAAAACCCACAAATGACCCACAAATTCTGCTAGCATTCAGATTATTCTATTCTGGGATGCATCTGACAGAGATGCTGTAACAATAGGACTTGCCAGTAGTGAGAAACTCACAGCTTAGGCTTTTGATGACAAAGGGGCTTGTTCCATTGCTGTGTCAGATGGCCACACATGGTAGTATTTATAGCCTTCTGCAGCACTGATTTCTCACAACTTAACTTTGCTTCTTCCCATGGGCAGAGTCAGAAAGGCAGATAAGCTTGGGCAGTTCATTGTACCAGTTGATGAGAATAAGTGGTTCAATGCCTCAGCAGTTAAATATCCTCTTGTCTAGAAATGAGACTTAGGCAAGAGGAAATGTTTTGAACTAGATCAAAAGAGGGAGGTAAGCACCTAAAAGCTATTATTGCAATAGTTAAGGTTTAAGGGGAATCTGGAATCCCATCTTAAGCTCTTTAAGTATAAGTAATGCTGAAAAGCCTCATCAGTCACACTTGAGCAGGCAATCTTTTATAGTCAATAGGAAGTAATAGAACACTGGTCTGCTGTAAATCTAGCTGTTGTTCAGAGCTACAGACATGCATCTTTGCTCATTTTTGATATGCATTTCAGCATCTTGTTTTCAAGGATTTTAAACCATTTTTAAAACCAAGGAATTGCTGAAGCATTAAAGTTCAGTTCCTTCCTTTGCTTGGGGCATACAGATCACACCTTCTGCATCATGCTGAAGTGTTCTAATAATAGGAGTTCTTCTGAAAAGTCCTAGGATGAGAGTTGTTGGACATTAGTCAACAATAAGCTCTTGTCATTCCAAAGTGGTTAATTATTGTTGTGCCCAGCAGCCTACATATATTCATGCTATTTAGACATTTGTATCAAGTATATATATGTTCACGTATGGAGTGAAATTATATGTAAATGTTGGTTAAAGAGTTTCTTCATTACTGAAACATATAGAGTGAGTCACCAAAGAGGAAGAACTTTACTCCTTGTTGGAGCAAGCAACCAGATACAGAACAGGACACTTGAGCCAAAAAACCCAAATGCATGCATTTAAAGAACTCTAAAGTAAAACATTATACATTAAGTGTGGAAAATGGCACAACTGTCTCCTAAATGAAATCTATTGAGCCTGTCACTCTTACAACTGATCTGTCTCATTCATCTAAGGAATTTGAAGGAGAGATTGGCTCTAAAAGCTTACGGTCCACTGAGAGGCATTTTCTTTCTAATAGATGCAACTTCAAGTGTAATATGGAGAAAACAGAATCCTAGTGGTCACAGTTGATAGAAAGGCCATAGCAAATCAGCTGGAGATAAAAAAAAGAAAGTTTTCCACTTTTATATTAGGTTACACAAGTTCTTATTGTGGATGCCTGTTTACTAGTACAGTCTGTTTTAGGAGCTGTGTGCAAATACTTATATTTGCCTTTTACCTTGACCTTGTTTGAATGAAGAGTAACCAGAGAAAACAGTTTTACTCAGGAGTGTGGCACTCAGACACTTTACCAGTTACCTGATTCCCTATCGCATTCTTTTCTGTTCCCAGGGAGGACATATGATTGTGCCTCTGCTGAAGCAGCAGTGGAATTAGGGCTTTGGAGAATAAGAATCTTCAGTGGTCAGTAGTGATCAGGTAGGGACCTCAGCGTGCAGCAAGGCTTAGGGAAGCAGGGTTAAGCCTAGGAAATCACCACTGAGTTTTGGGTGGTGGAGTAGGAAATGTCCTCTGTTCTTCTACAAAAATTTTGGCACACAAAAAGATTTTTCGGGATTTTTTCAACCATAAAAAAGGAGCAGGTTCTTGTTTTCTAGTAGTCAGAACATTCCTTGGGGAGCTTTATTTATTTTGTCTAATTATGGGGGCCTTTTCATAGGCATCTTCTAAGGGCAGTAGTTACTTTTGGGCAATATTTTCACATCAGGTGGGCCCTGATCACCTCCAGCAGGGGAACTGAATCTGCTTTGCATGGTCTTGATAACTTCTGTGCTTGCTGGCATATCATGTAATTGAGTGAGCATGACCTGCATTTGTCTGGAAGCAGCTGCTTCCACATTTTAGAAGGAGCCTAGTTGAACAGCACATCAGGAGAATGCACTAAGGGTGTGTACGGAATTGAGCCCCTGAAGGATTCTAAATGGATAAAGGAAAGACGTAATGCACGGATTGATGAACATATAGTACAGTAACATTGAATTCCCTAGGACATTTAAAAGATTTCTATTTTTCAAATGCAGACTTGAAATTACTTACTTCTATATTTTCAGTAGCTCTGCCAAATATTACTTTTAAGGTTAATCAGGTGTTTTTTTTTAAATGTGCTTTTAATGGAGATGTGCTTATCAGTGTTAAAAAAAAAAAAAAGAAAACACAAAAGATCAATTTAGTAACAAGTAGTTGCTTTTTATTCTTCCTTGTTCATCCCACTCAAACCTCCTCGTTTTACCAAGATGATGATTTCAAGATCAAAGAAATATTAAACGTTTTTACAGTGACTTTTAGAGGGCAGAATTTCCCAATTCTTTGGCAAACAGCATTCGTCCAAACAGCAAACATCCTCTGTAAGTGGTGCAGACCAGCGGTTTTTCATTCAAAGCTTGTGAGGGCCTCGGCTGGTTCCTGCCATCTGGTGGGTACTTGGAGTCACTACCTCGATACTTCTAATTTCCACTAAGTAACCAATATTCTGAACAACTAAGCAAGTGTCACAGAATCACAGAAGGACTGAGGCTGGTAGGGACCTCTGGAGTCCATCTGGCCCAACCCCCCTACCCACACAGAGCCCCCAAAGCCATTGGCGGAGGACTGTGTTCGTGTGGCTTTTGAATGTCTCCAAGGTTGGAGACTCTGCCACCTCTCTGGGCAATGTGTGCCAGTGCTCAGTCACTACCACAGGAAAACAG